GGTATTGTTCAATGAACTTCTTCATCTCTTCCAAAAATAAACTTTTTGGTTACTCACGAAATCATGGATATTTTCTAAGCGTAACTTAGATGTGGCACAAGGCCGAAAGAATGGAGCACCTAGTGAGGATCGAACTCACTTTTCAGTCAAAACCATGATGGCATCACTTACTTGTTTAGGCACCCAATATGCACAAACTTTAAGGTACGGCCCATCATCATGCACTATGGCTAATGCAGAGCCATAGCTGATGTCCATGGTTGTCAGTGCATGTGCTAATGTGATTCATCTGTCTTTCCTAATCAAGGGATCCACCCTTTGGATATGTTTTTCTGTCTGCAATGTTGATGGGTGACCAGATCAGTTTTTGTCCATTATATTTGTTCTTCCCACTTGAGAACATTCTATCCAATTATAAACCTTTTGTTGATTTATGGTACGTGCGCCATACTATGCCAACATCTGGTGATGAATTTTAGCATGTTTCCCTCCCTCTTCCCAAAAGGAGTACACTATGGCACCTTGTTGCTCAATGGTACAGTTGCTGAGGAGCATGTCCATATGTCTGACCTCTTTGCTCCCTGCTACTCAACTGAATGATGGAGTGCTGTGCATAGATAGCTACCTGTCATTGCATGTGTGGTGTTATGCATCATGGCCTCATTGTTGTTTTTACCGTATAATTTAGAAATTGCTTTTATTTTCTTATTTACAGTCATATATTAAATGGTGGCTGCTTCTTCCTAGTTACACTTGTCTGCTAGGGTACACAAGTATTCTCTGTTGCAGATGCTTGATCAGGTATATTGTGTTTCTTCGACATGCACATAGCCAAACAGTGCAACTATGCTGAGCAGACAATAGTTACAGTTTCTGGGAGATATCGCACAGTCTGGTGTGGTCAGAATAATTGAACAAGGCTAAAAAAACTACAGTTTATGGGAGATATTACACAGTCTGGTGTGATTTGAACAAGGCTGGGAGATTTACAGTCTGGTGTGATCACAAAATTGAACAAGGCTAATAAACTTACAGTTTATGGGAGATATTTCACAGTCTGGTGTGAATAATTGAACAAGGCTAAAAAAACAGTTTATGGGAGATATTTACAGTCTGGTGTGATCAGCGAAATTGAACAAGGCTAATAAACTACAGTTTATGGGAGATTAGTCTGGTGTGGCGAAATTGAACAAGGCTAATAAACTACAGTTTATGGGAGATATTTCACAGTGATCATCAAAATTGAACAAGGCTAATAAACTACAGTTTATGGGAGATATTTCACAGTCTGGTGTGATCAGCAAAATTGAACAAGGCTAATAAACTACAGTTTATGGGAGATATTTCACAGTCTGGTGTGATCAGCAAAATTGAACAAGGCTAATAAACTACAGTTTATGGGAGATATTTCACAGTCTGGTGTGATCAGCAAAATTGAACAAGGCTAATAAACTACAGTTTATGGGAGATATTTCACAGTCTGGTGTGATCAGCGAAATTGAACAAGGCTAATAAACTACAGTTTATGGGAGATATTTCACAGTCTGGTGTGATCAGCGAAATTGAACAAGGCTAATAAACTACAGTTTATGGGAGATACACAGTCTGGTGTGGTCAGAAAAATTGAATAAGGCTAATAAACTACAGACCCTTAATCATATGGACTTGTTACGTAATGGTTGCAGAACCATTGACAGCTTCCAAATGATGTTGTCTGTTCAGTTTCACTTACAGCATTTGGGTCAACCTATGGTATAGTTATCAGGCACATTATAAATGTGCTGTATACTAGAAATATCTCTCAGGTTGATATTATCAAGAAGTTACCTCCTCAGCAGATCAACCATGGAGAAATTTGAAGCCATATTTCATGGTTGGAATGCAAACATTTTAATATATCAGACAGAAAATCTGTTGTAACATGTTTCATTCAGAAAGAACATCTACAGATAATATAATAGCTTTGTCTAAGCAAAAAGAGAAAATATAGCAAATGCTGACTATATTTTATATCAGAACATTAGATATAGACAGACATTCAAATCTTAGCTTTAAATTTGAATGTTTGATGTAACTAAATTTTAAACTTTGGTAATCTCGATTAGTTTTTTTTCAATTTTATTTTTATTGTAAAGTAATAAAATGCTAAATAAGATCAAGGATATCTTATGAAAGTGAATGGGGGTGAAATGGAGTCAAGAAGAAAAGATAACAGATTGAGTAAAAGGTTGCTTGATGTATGTATTTATATATAAATTTAATGTAATGATTACTGCATGAAGTAATGTTGATTTTTATATATATATATATATATATATATATATATATATATATATATATATATTTATTACTTATTATTGATATGTTATTACTGATATGTTTACATAATCAACACAATATGTTTTGTATTTTGAGTGTATAGATGCCTTTTATTAAAGCTGACTCTCTCTCTCTCTATATATATATATATATCTATATATCTATATATATATATATATAGTGTGTTTGTGTGTGCGTGTGTATTTAAAACTTGCTATATTTATAGGGCCAGTGAACTCAATATTAGGGATAGAGTGTAGACATATATTAAATTTCCCAGAATAATTGTTTACCTTAATAAAGTTAGAAGACAAAATGTGTCAGCAAAAACTAAGATTTTTTTCAGTTGTCATTTTTAAACAAATTTGTCTTATCCACTGAATTATTTTGGTAAATTTAACTCTATTGTCGACATGGAAAACGAAAAACAAACCCTTAGCATTAAGGAATTTACCATTATCCAGAAAGGGTCTTACACAGGAGCGTCTCTCTTTTTTAAATTTTTGATTTAATGTAACTATGACAACAAAACATTTCACTTTCATTGATTGGCTTGATAAAGTCATGAAATGTGTCAGCAAAAACTAAGATTTTTTTCCAATTGTCATTTTTATACTGTGTGTGTATATATATATATATATATATATATATATATGAACTTAATGTCATGATCACAGCATGAAGTAGCGTTGATGTATGTATGCATATATGTGTGTATATATATATATATATATATATATATATATATATATATATATTATTTATGCATGTTACTTATTGGAAAGCGCTCAATATCAGAGATAGAGCTAACATATTTAGTTGGATTGATGTGAGTTTGTGACACTGGGTTTCACGCTTTTGCAATTGTCAGACATCTGATTCATCGCAAAAGCGTGGAACCCAGGGTCAAAACACATCAATCCAACTATATATATATATATATATATATATATATATATAAAATAAGTATGCAGTAAGTGTTGTTATTGATATGTTATTATTGATATTTCATCCAATATACAAATAAAAAATTTAAAAAATATTGCATAGCTAATATTAGAAAATAGCAAAAAAATGACATAATATATAATAAGAGACACATGAAAACAAGATACTTAAAAAAATGATGCTACACTTGAAAACTCCCAAAGAAAACACAATGCATGCACAGAGACAGAACCCTATTAAGATAAAAAATACAACTCTTATGAAAATCTAAAAGCACTCAGAAGATGTTGGACAATTTATGTTCAAAGTTTTCACAAATAAACAGAAAAATTGTCTAAACTATGGAAGAATTTACAAACTCTCATAAATAAAAGATTTCTGCTCAGATGCACCCAATATATGTGTGTGTGTGTCTGTGTGTGGGTGTTGGTGAGTCAATCCCAACATATGTTACCAAAGGTAAGTGCCTGAAAATCAAGACATGGGTTAACTCAAGCCTTTTAAATGAAATTGTGTAGACGAAACCATCAATGGCTATGCTAGTACAAAGTCAGAAGTCATTCTGATTGAGGGTTTGAATGTATTGGCATTGTTTACACTGCTGTTCATGCCAGATTATGTGCTCACTTGCAGAAATAGTAAAGTCCACTCAGCATAGTTGCAGTCTAAACCATACGTGGGCTCTGTGGGTGTTGAACAAACACAAAGCAAGACCTCCGAGTCCAGCTGTCGTGATACAGTCTTTGACTGTAAACGACGTCTGTCAAACTCTCTGCGTTAGCAGAGAGGAACCCGGATGAGGCTTTGCCGAAGGGCAAGGTTTCGTTCGGGGAGGTAGACAGGGCCTGATCCGTCAAGGCGGTTTCAAAAAGGCTATATTTTTGGCCGAGCCTATGGGCTCGGAGATACCCACATTAAACTGGCCTTGTGCCATATTCAATCCTCGTGGGTGGATCGATAAATAGCGAACAAACACAAATGTGCCAGAGCATGCATCTGCATCAGGGATTGACTAACAGCTTTAGCAGACAAGCATGTTCAGAAATGTGTAACAAGCCATTATATATATATATATATATATATATATATATATATATATATAAATTAAATTAACTGATTTAAAATATGGTTTTTTCACTACACAGTAATAACCATGAAAAAAAAAAGTTATTCCAATATTCGCTTGAAGATGAAACGGAACTAATGCTTTTAATTTAATTATATAATTAAATTTAAAGTTTTTAGCTTCCATTTTTGAAACATGGTTATTACTGTGTAGCAAAAAAACATCTTTTAATCAGTTAATTTATAATATTTATGCTCTGTAAATTTACATTGAGCACTGTTTTGTCAAAATAAAAATAAAAAATAACAAGAACACCGGATTATATATCTTACTATTCTTTCTTTTTATCTATACACACACACACAGACACACACGTATATATATATATATATATGCTAAATGTATAAATATATATAATATATATTAAATGGTTGATTTTTTTATGACTTATCAACCTTTTGCAGGTTATTTGAAAGAAAAAAATATTTTTAAATTGTAAGAATTTTTGCCAATAATAATAATTTACTGATACAAGTTCTACTAATTAATCCATAGTTGGAGGATTAAAGGTGAATTTATACCTTTTCCAAGAGGATTTGCACATAAGTAAATATAAGAAACTTTATATATCCAAATCATTATCAGTTTCACCACCGACACATCCAAGCTTACAGCACCTGGTATTCCAAAGCAGTCACCCATCTAGGTACTGACTAGGCGCAACTTGCTTAACTTCAGTGATCATGTGAGGCGAGAACTGGTATTTAAATGAGATATTACTGTAAGAATATATATATATATATATGAAAGAAAAATACAGAAAAAACAAAATTCTGAATATGCATTATTAATGTTAAAAATAAAAGTCGACGTCCGGACGTTTCGGTCTATTTAAGACCATCTTCATGGACATTTTCATTTAAACATAATTAACATTATAACTTATAACAATTTAACACAAAAGACGATGGACATAAGAACCCAACTAATTCAAACAGATAACAGATGTTATAAGTTATAATGTTAATTATGTTTAAATGAAAATGTCCATGAAGATTGGTCTTAAATAGACCGAAACGTCTGGACGTCGAATTTTATTTTAACATTAATAATGCATATTCAGAATTTTGTTTTTTCTGTATTTTTCTTTCATACTGTCGGATTTATATCCATATATTTGCTTACATATATATATATATATATATATATATATATATATATATATATATATATAAGACTAGATCAATAACAACTTTACATTTAGCTATGAAATCTGGTCTGAAATTTTCACTGTATAATGTTCTGACTAATTAATATTCATTGAATTAAGTTCATTGACAAAGAAATTCAAAAATCATTATTTGTGTAAAGTGTATGTCTTTTCATTTGGCTTCAAATACATCAATATATGTATGTACGCACACACACCTAAAAACACATACATACACATAGCTGAGTAATGTGTTGGGTTATACATATATACTTACATTTGAATATTCTATAGTAACTATTTGTCTCTGCTTTGCCCCAACTCTTACACACACACACACACACACAGACACACACACACACACAGACACACACACATGTATGGACAATTTCTCTATTGACTGTAATTGTTCTCTGAGATGTCCTGAAGCCATTCTCCAGTATCAGTTTTATTTGCCAATGCTGTTTGCCTGATTAGCAAATGAATCACAGTCGAGAGGAAGGGAAACCTTTTCAAAAATATAAGACAGTCCAAAAAACACAATCAAAATAGAAATAAAATCTAACGCACGCTGTTGAATGGACAGCTTTTGCCAATAGATTCATTAATATGCATATTTGCATACAAATGTACAGTTGTCCGTTTATGTAATTGTGTTTGTGTCAACTTGAAAAGACAAATGAAAGAAATCAGATGGATGAATAAAAGGATGTGTGTACATGTGTGGACAATTTGTAAGACTTTATTATGCAAAACAATGCTTTCTTGATAAAACTAGTATTATCAAACCAAATAAGTTCATGTAAATATTTCTAATAAAATACAAATAAGCCGAAATTCTCGTTATATATTAAATTTATCATATTCAGTGGGTTCTTCTAGTAGAAGTAAAATTTTATCATATGTTACACTTGATAAATAAAACTCCATAAATATTCAATGGTGAATAGAATGTTAATTGTAAATTTTCAGAAACAGAACACAGGTTCAAATGTCACCATGATCAATTTGTTACTTCTTCATGTTATCTGCCTGGGGAAGTGATCTCAGTGTGTGACACCTTTAGAAAGTTCTTGAAGACCATACCACAGGTTGACACAAGCCTTCTAAGTGAAATTGGGGAAACAGAACTATTTGGGAACCATCAATGGTTGTGCTAACACAAAATCACAAGTCATTGTGACTGAGGGTTTGAGTGTGCTGGTCTCATTCAGACTCTTAAACATGCTTGTTAATCTTTCTCTCTCTCTCTTTCTCTCCCATAAAGTGTAACTAAGGTCCACTCACCATAGTTGCAGTATAAACCACAGGTAGGCTCTGTGGGTGTTGACAAGCACAAATGTGCCTGAGCACATAAATTTGAATGTTTGATGAAACTAAATTTTAAAACTTAGCCTATATCAGTCAGCTTTTTTCAATTTTATTTTTATTGTAAAGTAATAAAATGCTAAATAAGATCAAGGATATCTTATGAAAGTGAATGGGGGTGAAATGGAGTCAAGAAGAAAAGATAACAGATTGAGTAAAAGGTTGCTTGATGTATGTATCTTCTGAGTTTCATGCACATGACAATCATCAGGCATAAATTAAAAGCTAACCATTGCAATATGCCAATATTTATAGGTTACTGGTAAGATAGTGGAGCAGTCAATTTACATATTGGAAAAATAAAATGGTAAAAACTGTATTAGAAAAAAAAAAATGATTAGAAAAAAATATATATGTATACATACCATATTTACATTGTTCAGACTGTTGTCCTCATCTTTGTTGTCATATTCACAACTTTTCAACCATTGTACGCTCCAGCCTTCTTCAGGTGACTGGAATTTCAAACCGAAATACACACACACACACATATATATGAAACTCTATGTTATGGATTTTGATATTATTATATTCTGTTAGTAATATTATTATAATATATGAATAAAGAATAAAACTGTGCAAGTAACATCAATCAGCTAAATGACAATTTTACTTACATTAATCATCATATATATATATATATATATATATATATATATATATATATATATATATATATATATATAGTGTTGAAGCTTAAATAAGCATGGAATAATACAACACAAAATGTACGTTAACAAAATGTATTGAAACAAAGAATAGGTACACAATATTTACAGTTAGTTTGGTATATTCTTGGGAAGACTGTTCCTGCATAATGGGTTGACTAAAACGCAGTCGGACAGAGTCTCTGGATTCAATTTCTTAATCTCTACTATCTTCCCCGTCTTCCGGTACCAACCCATATTTATATGGTCGGTAGTCCGCTTATGTAAATTAGGTGTATCATACACAACAGCCAGCTTCCACTGTGCACTCTACAGGGGGTCCCAGTGTTGTATCCTGTCGGAATTCCACTTTTTTTAAAAAACAATTGGGAGAAAAAGCTTAACCAACATTGTTGTAAGACGGGTTTAGGATATATAGAGGCCTTTAAATCAACCAAAACATGCGTTTCTTGTGTCTCTATCTTTGGGCAAAGTGTGCACAGGGGCTTCTCTGTCAAAAGACAGAGGGGCAACTGAGAATATTATACTGAGAGGTGCCCGGCCCTGGGGAAAAGTTGCCCGAAGCCGTGCCCTCCCATTGCACCAGAGGGAGGAATCGGTGCTCACACTGAGGCCATCACAACCAACGGTTGTGGGGGCTGAGGGCAATTTTTGTCCTTGTCCAGGGCGTCCCCACCTAAAAAAGACCTTATGTCACATCTCCTCCAAGTGGAGGGAAGGAGTTAATACTCCATTTCTGTGGTCAGATGCTATATTCATATTGTAATACCTGTACCGCGGCCATGATACAATTTTTGTGCCCAATCCCGTGCAAGTGGGGGTTAGGGAAAAATTAACTAGTGACCCAAGTGTATGCTATTGGGTTCCCATATGTTAATCTTGACCTTGTGTTGCATCCTGTCACAGTGGGGATACATGGGTAAATAACTACATTCCGCAACACAGATGACTAAGATCAAAGTGTAGTATCTGTTCCAGCAACAGCTGACAGCCTGCCCACGGCTCCCAACCATCAACAACAGCTCCAGCTAGCTGGTCATCATCTCCAGCTTGCCAACTGCCATCACTCCAGTTCCAGCCATCCTTGCCCACTTCACTAAAAGAGACCATACCCTGATGAAAAAAAAGGCCCAAACTTGATAAACAATTTTTTATTGTCTGAGTATTTATGTTATTATTACGAGAAAAGACCAAAGTATTTTTTGATTATTTTTTTTACATTTTTTAATCCTTCCTTGCACGTCCGAAATTTTAGTTAAATATCTTGTTTTTTTTGTGGGGGGGTTGAGTCAGGACTTCTCCGGACATCCACTCTCTAGTGACCACGAAACTGTCCTTCTCAGGACAATGCTATTTCTCACTCTCTGCATGGGCCTTGTCTGTTCACACTAACATTATTTTAGTTTGTGTATTTTCTATAATAAAAATAAACTTGGCAATATTTATTTTTACTCAAGTTTTCTTTTGGTTTGTTGTTATCTTCCGTCATTCAATATCTGTTTGCGAGCCAATATACCATGATGCAGATAGGAAAGTCCAACTAGCGTCCAATTGGCAGAAAAAAATAAAAGGCAATGTATCTCAATAACCCGTCTAAGCGTCCTGGCCACAATAGACAGGGGCCTGCGTTTCTTCTCCTTGTCGTCCACCTGCTAGTTCGGCGACAAGTCGCCGGCTTATATGATAAACATTACATGGTAAACATTAACTGCTCCTATAAAGTACTAAAAATCTCAAGAAAATAAATTCAGGTGTTACAAAATATAAAAAGTATAAAAACGTTCACAACGTTTATCAAGACTAAGTTCTTAACACTGAAACAACTAAAAAGTCATTAGGTTCATATGAATTGAAATAAACTTTTATGTTAAATTGAAGAAACGGTCACGATCATGAAGATATATAATGCCTGCCCTTGATCACGTGAACGGAGTAACGAAGGGCTACGATAACCACCTGAAACATCAGAATTAACTTTATTCTATTTCAATGAAATCGGGCAATTTAAAAAAAAATGACACAATTTTATGCTTAGTACTTAAAATTGTGATACAAAATAAATAGATTATAAATAAGTCAAGACTTTCTTGAAATTTTTCCACATGTGCTCTGTCTGCATATCTACAATTTTCAAATCTATCCTTAGCATTGCAAAACACATTTTGAAGTATTTCAGGAGTTACCTCCTACACTGCTAACTAGATACGTTCTTTAAGCTCAGCTAAACTATTGATCTTTTGGTGATAAGCCTTTGTTTTTATTAAACCCCATAAAATTTTTTAAAAAATCCAGGGGTGGGGGAATCAACAAAGATGCGTTCTTGTGTATTCATTATTGACAGTATTCTGAAAGGGAATTAAAATAAAATTAGAAAATTTAAAATGTTATAAACAAAATTAGAAATGTATACACTTCTAACAAATATGATGAACAGAAATAAAAGTGAGTTTTTAAAAATATTGTCACTGAAATAGTTAATTCTGGAACACCATGTTATATCATTTTTTTTCAGTTTTACTTT